ACAAACTACCAAAATCACACACAATTATTCTTCTTAAAAAAGGCACATCACAAAAACCAGGCACTTTTCTGATGGATTATAATAGGAAAACAATGATGATTTCTTCTGTCACTTATTGTTTGTGAGGGCATGAGAACACTTCCCGCTGTTCTTGAATTCACAACACGGCATGGAATCAAGAATATCACCTGCACCAATGAACCCAATTCATGTACAGTTCTGTTAAAAGAAGGCATAACAAAGCATTCCAAACTGGAAGTCGCTCTGAAATGCCAAGTGAACGTATTGTAATACATAACGGTTTGAACTGAATCTATTTGAAACTGATGATTAACTTCAAAAGCAAAATTGGATAATGGTGTAATGAATATGGTAAAGTTTCTTAAATTTGAAGGCTTTCCAACATTTTAATGTTTTGAGTAGATAGAAATGTCTCTAACTACATGTTTTAGAGCTCAATCAATAAATCACTTTATTGCTTTATCTGGCCTTTCTGTCTTATTTATAAAATGCTAGTCACAACCTATCTGGTACAAAATGTGACGACCAAATTTCAATGAGAACTATCTTTAACCATAACATTAAGAATAACAGCCAGGATTATTAAGTTGGTCCCTCTTGTGTGTTCGGAAAGCATTAATGCCTTGTAATAATTTCAACAATTTGGTACATGGGTTCAGAAAGATAGTCCTTTACCCACGTATAAATGTATTGTACTAAAATGGAAAGAACTATGATCAAGCACAGTAAGAAATAGGTAGAAGAAGCACAAGAGAATGCAAAACATTCACAAGAGAAAGCAGAATAAAGCTTTCGAAAGGAAGCTCGGTGGGATTGTGGGAAGTTTTGTCATGCCACCATCAGCTCTAGATAGTCCAACATGGTACAATAATTTCAAAAATGTTTTGAGGAAGAAAAAAGGGGAGGGGGTACAAAATAATCTGAAATGATTTTAACAGCTTATAGCAAATGGAAGGGACCTTGGAAGTCACAAGATTAAAACTATAAATTTGAAGTCATAACATTGTCAATAGCATTTCAATAAAAACTGGAAGAAGATTGTGAAAAAATGATTGACTCATTATTTACAAAAAATCAAAACAGGATAATACGTCTGGAAGAGCAATGACATAACTATTTGATACAAAACCATAAAAAGTGTACCTTTGGGAAAATGATTACAAGTCAGTGAAAAATCAACAGAGTGACATGTAATCCACAAAATATAGATCAAAATTTTGGTATTTTCGCTCCCTGTTGTGGAAGAAAGAAAGAGGGAAGACTAACACAACTTCCAGTAAAAAACTGACTACTCTCAAATTAGGTTTATGTCAAACCGAACTAGTACATAGTACTGTATTAATTCAAGACAAAAATGAATTGAATATACAGAACTACCATGTCTCAAATCTTAACAATCTTAACATTCCTATATATACGACCTTGGTTGAACATCAAAATGGAGGAAGAAAATATAAATGGAAGACAAAAGTAAAGAAAAATGTTGGGTAGACAACTGATACTACTGTATGCAATTTGTGGCAAAAAAATAGTCTGGGGGTGAAAAATATACCACACAAAACCACTTGACATAACTGCCTTCAGACCACAACTGTTCCATTCAAAGGCAACATTGTTGAATCAGTACAGTACTAGGGTCATCACAGCTCACTTCTCTTGCTCTACCAAGAGCTCTTCGTCCTCTAAATTGGACAAATGTCAGTGCTGCACACCCACAAAAGGTGCATGCAGCCAAAAACGTTGAGTTTGCACTATGTGTTCAGTCATCACATTAGAACAAAAATGTGAAAAACTAGAGGGGGGAAAAGGTAGGCAGTATTGGAAGAAGGAAAAAGAGCCAAAATGTTTGCTCTCTGCACCGTTGAAATCACAGACACTATCTTCTATGGAAAGCAGAACACATGGGAAAGTTATGCTTACCCAGATTGAATGTCAGTCACAAACTTTAAAATGACTTTGTTTCCTTTATGATAAGACCATCCAACTAAAATACCACAAATTATCTGATATGACATTCAATCTGGGTTTGCATATACCACCCATGAGAGTCTGAGCAGAAATCAAAGCGCCTTTCTTGTTGTTGTTTGGAGGCAAAGTTAAAGCACACATCACACAAATCCACTCAGCATTTGGCATCAAATGGTTGTAAGCAGAAGGCGAGGCACGCCGACTTATCCTCCAAGATCAGTTCCCCCCTCAGGGACTTCGCAGCCATCGTTGTTGCAGGCTTAGCAGTTAGACTTGGCCTAGAATGGCCCGTAGAGCAGGAGGCCAAAGAACACTCCCCACATGATCACAATGCCATGCAGATTGTTGAGCATTCCCTTACCATCGGCCAGCTTTCGGGCGACAAACTTCAAGCTCTCGTCCAGTAGTACAACAGGAATAGAGAACTTCATGACTGTTACCCACTCCTCGGCAGTAAGAGGCGTAACCTGGAACACAGTCTGCACAGAGGAGAAGGAAAATTAAAACTGAGAAAAACTCACAAACAAAAGCGAATGTTTCAGTTGATCCTACCGCAAGGACTTCAACGTGCAGAATGACGAAGTGGAGTGTGAAGGAGAGCGCCATGGAGGCAACAAGCCACAAGTTGCTCCATGGGGGCATGGCAATCAGGGACTGGTTCTCTGACAAGCTGTAAAGAGAATGCAGTTATCAAATATTTACAACATATTTATTTTTAATGTAGCTGCATGTTAAGTGGAAAAACAGTTTTACCTGTTCATGGCGTTCAACATCTCAATGGTGACAAGCACAGACAGAGCCATTGTCATGGGGTGGGGGTCGCTGAAGACCTTGCAGTCCAAGCCCTTGAACTCCTCACCACCACCAATGCAGGCCAAGTGGTGGGTCTAAAACAGAGATGATATCCGATATGCGTATTGAACAGAAAGGGCAGAGGAAAAAAAAGGAGGAAAAATTGAGTGGATTAGAGAACTTAGACTTACAACTTGGTAGTAGTTCATCTGAGGACCGTTGGGGCTGTACATGAACCACCAGGTGGCGGCACCAACAGTGGCAGCGCCGACGTAGGTACCAATAGCCATGTAGCGGAAGAACAGCCAGCCTGAGATCAGAGACTCGTCGCTTCTTCTGGGAGGCTATTGATTGAGAAATCCAAACAAATTATTAAAGCCCGCAATCAATCGTGCAGCATTTTAAAAAATACAGGCGCAATGGCTATCTCACTCACCTTGTCCATGATGTCGAGATCGGGAGGGTTGAAGCCGAGGGCAGTGGCGGGAAGACCGTCAGTAACCAGGTTGACCCACAGAAGCTGGACGGGGATAAGAGCCTCGGGGAGACCCAGGGCGGCAGTCAAGAAAATGGAGACGACCTCACCAATGTTAGAGGAAATGAGGTAACGGATGAACTGCTTCATGTTGTTGTAGATGGCACGGCCCTCCTCAACGGCGGAGACGATGGAAGAGAAGTTGTCGTCAGCCAACACCATCTCAGCGGCAGACTTGGCGACAGCGGTACCGGAACCCATGGCAATCCCGATCTCGGCCTTCTTGAGGGCAGGGGCGTCATTGACACCATCACCAGTCTGAAAGGAGAACAATTACGTTGAACACATGCGATGACGAAGTTGCCAGGTGTAACGGAGTAGCGGGTGTTTCGATCCGTGTGGCCGGCGCAGGCGGGATTGCCTACTCCATCTGTCTGTAAGGCGCCTTGACCCTTGTGAGTAGGCAAACCCGCTTGCAACGGAGGGTGCACCGGAACGGAACACCCGGCTAGAGCGGAAGAAGTACTTACCATGGCAGAGATCTCGTTCATGCCCTGCAGGAACTCAACAATCTTGGACTTGTGGGCGGGCTCCACACGGGAGAAGAGACGGGCACGAGCGCAGACAGCCTTCTGCTCAGCGAGGGGCAGGTCGTCGAACTCACGGCCAGAGTAGGACTTGCCGGTGGTGTCCTCATCCTCGGCGAACACACCAATACGCCTGCAGATAGCCTCGGCGGTGGCCTTGTTGTCGCCAGTGATGACAATGACGCGGATACCAGCGTGACGGCAGCGGACGATGGAGTCGAAGACCTCCTTACGGGGAGGGTCCAACATGCCGACGACACCGACGAAGCAAAGGTTGTTCTCGTACAGGTGGAACTTGTTGGAGTCACCAAGGTCCATCTCCTCGGGCTTCATGGGGTTGTCAGAGGTGGCCAGGGCCAAGCAACGCAGGGTGTCGCGGCCGGTACCGTACTGGCGGGTCAGGTCCAGGATGCGGTTCTTCAGGGAGGAGGTGAGAGGCACCTTCTGGGTACCAACGCGAGCATGCGTGCAACGCTCCAGGACACCCTCAGGGGCACCCTTGACGAAGAGCTTGGGTCCGTTACCAATGCGGGAAGGCTTGAGGGGTACGCAGTAGGAAGACATGGATTTACGATCGCGAGAGAACTCCAGGGTGAACTCCTTCTTCCACTTGGACTCCAGGTCCTGGCGGACGGCAATAGCGGTGGCACGGCGGTCGAGGCCGGTCTTGGACACTCCGAAGGGGTTCATCTTCTCAGCCAGGACGATGAGGGCAGTCTCAGTGGCCTCGCCAACCTTCTCAAAGGCCTGCTTGAACTCGTTGAAATCAATGGCAGAGTCGTTGCACATGATGCAGATGGTTCCCATCTCGTGAAGGCACTCGTAGTCAGCGGTCTTGATCTTCTGGCCCTTCAGGAAGACGTCACCAATGGGTTCGTAGGTGGAGCCGGTGATCTCGAACTCAAGGAAGTTGCTGTCGTTGCCCTCAATCTTGTCGAAGATGAACATACTGCAGGGCGAAAGAGACGGGTGTGAAAAGCACATTTAAACAGAATGTGACAAGAAATCTCATTCTTCAGCTGACTTACCGGCTGACAGACATCTGGTTGGTGGTCAGGGTACCGGTCTTGTCGGAGCAGATGACGGAGGTGCAACCCAGAGTCTCCACAGAGGGCAGGGAGCGCACGATGGCGTTCTTCTTGGCCATACGGCGGGTGCCGAGGGCCAGGCAAGTGGTGATGACGGCGGGCAGACCTTCAGGGATGGCAGCGACGGCGAGAGCCACGGCGATCTTGAAGTAGTAGACGGCACCCTGTTGGAGGAAGGAGAACACAATCAGACTGCGAACACATTGGCGCGGGTGATGGCGGCAATCGCACTTCACCGCTCTCAACCCACCTTGATCCAGGAGCCACCGTGGGCGGGGTCGTTGAAGTGGCCAATGTTGATGGCCCAGACGGCAACGCAGATGATGGAGATCACCTTGGACAGCTGCTCACCGAACTCATCCAGCTTCTGCTGCAGGGGAGTCTTGATCTCCTCAGTCTCAGACATTTCAGTACGAATCTTACCAATGGCAGTGTTGAGACCAGTGCCGATGACAAGGCCGCGAGCCTTACCGGCGGCGACATTGGTTCCGGAGAACAGGATGTTCTTCTTGTCCTAAAGGAACAAACAAAGCAGAAACGTCAGACAACTGCACACTAAATGGCAAAGGAAAATTCTGAAACTCTGCACTAGATTTTTGAACCCACCTGGTTGACGGCACGGGGGTCAGGAATGGCGTCAGTGTGCTTGATGACGGAGACGGATTCACCAGTCAGGATAGACTGGTCAATACGCAGAGTCGTGGAGAAAATCTTAATAATCCTAATGTCAGCAGGGATCTTGTCACCGACTGAGAAACAGAAAGACACAATCATGAAAAGTTATGAAAGAGTATGAAGAGAAAAAAAAACAGCTAAAAAGATCAGGTTTGGTACTTAAGTGGGTGATCAATTAACTACTGCAACTCACCTGAGATCTCAACGATGTCACCGGGGACAATCTCCTTGGCGCGCACCTTCTGCACACCAGACTTGTCCTGACGGACAACCTTGCCCATCTCCGGCTCATACTCCTTGAGGGCCTCAATGGCGGACTCGGCATTTCGTTCTTGCCACACACCGACCACGGCGTTGGCGATGAGGATCAACAGGATGACGAAGGGCTCGACGAAGGCCGTAAGGGAATCTTCATGCTCTTCAAATAACGCGAGAACCTGGAGGCACAAAGAAACAAAATTTGAGTGTTAAATACAGGGTCCTCAAAAATCAGGGATATTGATAACAACGCTTTGTTGGTAAGTGAAACAAAAAGGAGAAGGGGGGGGGTGGTTGTAGCCC